AATGTATACTGATAAATATATAATATGGTCTATAAACATTAAGTAAGAAATATATAAGTGATTAACATCATTGTGCGTTTGGTTATTCAGTTTCTTAGATATACATTTTAAATAAATGTATTTCACTCAAAATAATATTCTTTTCATTGCAGTAGACTTGTATTGGTTCTTTACTTGCGTTCAAAATATTGGAGGTTATGAAAAGGTAAGTATTGAAACACCTATATACACAAACATAATATCAAAATCAAATTCGAGATATTTTTTCTTATGTTTAATTATACGAGTTGCAGTGTCAGTTTTGTTATTTTTTTTCTTATGTTTGATTATACGAGTTGCAGTGTCAGTTTTGTTATTTTTTTCTTATGTTTAATTATACGAGTTGCAGTGTCAGTTTTGTTATTTTTTCTTATGTTTAATTATACGAGTTGCAGTGTCAGTTTTGTTATTTTTTTCTTATGTTTAATTATACGAGTTGCAGTGTCAGTTTTTCTGATTGTATATCTCTCCCACCATAAAGGTGTAAGTTGACGTTCACTCTCATCCTTGTAGGGTGAGACATATGGATGAAGAATATTTGTTTTCCTTGTTCAATAGGGTGTTAAACATCCCTGTTTCATTACGAACTATCACCTTTGTAACCTGATGCTGGTACATTTTTTCGTTTCTCTTTGTTTGATTTTTGCTGTTGGCCTGAAATATGTGTGCATGTGGTAGACTTCATGGAATACATCTTTTATTACTATCTTGAACGTTATAATTTTCTATAAATAAACAAACTATACTATCGATAGAAACATTTTGTGAGTATTTTTTCATGTTCTGCAATATTCCTAATTAATGTATATTTTCATTTATTTAGTACTTTATTTTAAATATTAACTATGGACTATTTTTTCAGAAGTTTTAAGGCATATATTCAGGCGAACTTAAATGTAACGTACAACAGAAGCTAATCAATATATTAACGTAATGTTGACAAAATGTTTCAGTTTAACAAACAAATCTGTTTAACAGTTTTATTACTATGGAAACATTTTAACTTTTAGCTGTGTTTGTAGAACTGTGTGTGGGTTAAGTAGCTTTTCAATTTCATATTATTAAATTGTTAGTTGCACTTGATAACAGATTAAAAAAAGTTGCAGAAGCGTAAAAAATATATTTCATTTGTTTGCGAATTGCATAAAAAATCGTGTGTTGAATCTGAGCACTGCTAATTGTGAGTTGTTTATCGTCTAGAGATCTCATTAACTAAAAACCTGCTACCTTTTCTCAAGAGCATGGACTAAGATTGAATTATGAGTAATGATAGAAAGTACACAATCTCCCTAAATGATGATGCTTGGATATGCGCGAAATACGTTTGGATAAGGACGAATTCAATGTGCAGGAATATTCCACGGAGAGCAAAAATCAATATCTGTAAACGTACTACAAACGTTATTTGAGAAGTGTTCAGAAAAAGGAGTCGAACAAAACAGCTTTAAAGACCATTGTTTAGTTTCATCTTTGTTATCTCTTGAGAGCTTTGTACATCTTTTTCAATTTCATTAGTAATGAAAACTTTTCAAATCAAATTACGTAGTAGTGTTTAGAATATATACGAATAGTCCGTAAACTCTTCATTTAAGAGAGAGAGAGAAAAGGAGCTTAAAAAGAACTTACCAGTGTATATTATTAAATATAATAAAGAGGATATATTTACTATTACAAAGTAAATTTTATTTAAAGATAGTGCATACTTTCCCCCGAAAGAACAACGAGTGTGTGATTTTTATTATTCTAGTGATATCTTTTCAGATACTTTTAAAAGTACTTTAAATCACTTATTAATTTTAATCCTCTTCCGGAAACAAAATATAATAGTCACTTATTAACGTTTTAATGTTAATAAAATATGTATAAAAAGCTTTATTTTTAGGAGATTAAATTGTTCGTTTCCAGATTACCAATCACTTTTACCAACTTTGATGTCATAATATAATTGTTGTTTCTTAAGAAAATTTAACAGTACATCACTTTCGAAGATGGAGCTGGGGTTTGAAGAGTTCGTTGAACTCCCGTAGAGAACTGATTGCATTATATGATATTTATAGTTATGGACTTATATGAGTTTATGTCATGTGTGATGTGCACATTAAAATGCCTATGTAAGTTTTAGGTCAGTCAGTTTCAATCGTATGTTTCGACTATTCTGAGTTATAGAAATGTACGATGTAATTGGCTGAACGTTGAAAAACTAGACTATTCTATATATAGTGTATTTGATTTTGTGAGAACTATGAGGCGCTGCTGGTTGAGGAAGAAGTATGCAGATTTTGCTTTGTGTGTGTCTAGAAATTGAATTTTTTGTAGTTCATAAATAACAAACATTTTTAAAAGCTAAATTAATCAATAAATTGTGCTCTCCTATGTTCCCGTCGTTTTCTATGGATTCTTACTGCGTAATGTGTTATCCCCCTCCCATCCTCACCCCTTCTGTGCCTACTACACTCAGCCTCCCCAAATATGCTAAAAACAACCCTGTCGAAACCTCCTGGGTCTGTCACTGCATCTTCCCGAGTGCTCAAACAAACACAAAAAAAGTTGAAATGGTATTTTTATAACTATGGTGGGAAATGTTTTTATTAAGGAAATAACTAAATTTTACATATTTTTTTAAAATGGCAAATGAATGTCAAAATACATCAATTTGATAATTTTGTGATAGTATGCATCTAAAAATTATTTTGTTATGAATGTTTGTTTGTATGTAGTTATGCACAAAGCTACACAATGGGCTATCTGTGCTCTGCCCACCACGTGTATCGAAACCCGGTTTCTAGCATTGTAAGTCCGCAGACATACCGCCGTACCACTAGGGGGCTGTTATGAATGTACTGATTGTATTGTTATTGAAGTAGAAGTTACTAAGTCATTCACTGATTTTTATTTTGTTAAACACAAAGTTGCACAAGGGGCCATCTGTGCTGTGTGAAACGCAGAAATCGAATCTCAACTTTTAGCGTTGTAAGTCCTCAAGCTTACCGCTGAGCCATCGGGGCTGGAGTAACTTGTCTTTAATCTAAAGATAATTTATTTGCGTTATTCTGTCCAATCCTTACGGTAAATTCTCACGCTTTGTGTGTACAAATCGTAAACTTCAATAACAATTCCACAACATCATAGTTTCTTAGATAATTATTGGAACCCTATGTGAATAAAAAACGCAAGCAGTTACTTTATTCTTCCAAACCGTTTTTCCCTTTAAAGGAGGAAACCATTTTATTGTAAATTACAAGTTTTTTTAGCATTCTCTGTTATCGTTTTTTTTTTTGTCCTTGTCCCTATTTTCTAAATTTTTATTGTAACACACACATAAATATACAGAGAAATTACAAAAGCCTCTTAAAAATACAGTCTACATCAATAATTACAAAAGTTGTCAAACTGGTGCAGATATATCGTATATTTAGGAATTGCTTTATAAATGTTACTGTCAGAATGTGTTTAAACTGATGGTCTTTGTTTTCTTGACGAGAAATGTTATGGATGGCTTGCGAAGCTTTAATACTTTCAGCAGTGTTGGCAATCTTTAGAAAATGTTTCTTTACGTTGATCATTTGGAACAGGTAAATTGCTTGCTCAAAATAAGTAAAAAAAAATATAAAGTGTGTGTGTCTATTGAGTGATTATATTCAAAACTACAAAAATGACAAACTATTTGTTTCCAATTTTTGTTCTGACCCATTTTGAACAAAATAACTTGTACTTTTATATTTACAAAAATTTATATGAGTGGCCTGTAATGTATCAACAAAATATAAAATCGGACATAGATTGTGTTTTTTTGTAGTGCATGTTTAAAACCAAAGTAATTATTAGATGTCTTGAAAACAATTGGTTTAAAAGGTTTGTTGTCATCTTGAAGAAGTAATTCTAAATCGTTCTAGGTTACTTATGTGTTCTGTAATGGCACTTCATTAGCAATACATCAGTATGATTTTTAACGCAGAATTCTACCTTCAGGACAAAATGTTTCAATTACTTTTTAATAGATATATTTACCCTAGTAAGAAAGATAAATTGATATTCAGAGTAATAAAAGACAGAGAATGCATGAATGTTCGTTACTTTTTCCTCACATATTTCTTAATTATAAGATGCCTAAACAAAATAAAGTGAATACTATTACCAAAAAAAAACAAGACTACACTTAATAATTTCTTACTGATACATAATATTATAGCTATTGTTTTAAACGTTACTAGATAACTTCTAAAAAGTTGTGGAAGAATATATATGATGAACTTGGAGGAAATCCTGAAAGTACCAGTGCTGCCACCTGTACACGTAGACATTACGAAAGGTACGTAAGCAGTAAACACTGTTTCAAAACTCTATACGGATGAATGTATAAGCCTTTCCCACACATTGTGTATTTTAACACTTACATTACAAGAAATTCAATCTCGGAAATAAAGAAAAACAAGCTCGCGCTCTCTATCTTTTGTTTTGTATAAACAAGCTCTGATATCACCCGAGTTAAAGCTCTAAAGGTTACCTTAGTTATTTCATGTGAGGCATTTTTTTAGCCTTTCAAAGTGTTCACAGTTAACTGACTCCTACTCTCTCAAAATTAAACTAGTCTGAGTAGCCAAAACAATTCAGAGTTAGTTTATCTTTTTTGTTGTTGTTTACGTGAGCGGTATTGTTTTGTGGGGCCACAAACAACTAACAGTAGTTACATAACAATTTTATTTTGCTTAATCTCCCTTTGTTACCTAATGAAAAAGAAGGTTAATGATCAAAGTAACATTTGAGCACTGAAAATCTTCATATTAACATTCTTAATCTATGAATTTATTGCTTTAAATTACACAAAATTTTAAATTTTAAAGAAAAACGTGATGACATACTTAAGTATTCACAATAAACAATTTGTAGATGTAAATTTGTTTTGTAATTTTGTTTATTTTCCTGTTGATATTAACTTTACAGAAGTTAGAAGGATATCTTATTGGAAAAAATTCAAAGCAACTTTCTGCATTACAAATGTTCAAAATTATCACCAGTGCATGCAAAAATGAGGTCAATTTTCATATGAAGAGGTTCCTTTTCTATGACCTTTTGTGTTGTTATATTAGAATTTCTACAGATATTTCGTTTTTTAAGAATTATGTTTCTAGTGCCCATTAAAAAGTTTCCATATGAAGTTATTTCCAAACCTTATGTTTAGATCTATAGCTTCACTTTTAAATTGCAGACTTCTACTACCATTTGAAATATATATGAAAGGAACTGAAGACTCCATGTTCTCAAATGCTCTTTCTAAAAAGAAGAAAGTAGAGTCAACCAAAAAGAACCATATAATAAACACCACAAATAGAAATAATGCAAGGGAAGAACTAGAAACATCCAACTCTACAGTTTTTGATAATGATAGCTGCATGTCTGAAGCGTCAACTCATAATGAATCTGTCACCCAGGAAGAAAGACCAAAAAATCAGGCTGTTTATATTAAGAAAGAAGATTCATTTTATAATAATGCATGGCTTAGTGATCTTGAAAAACAGGAGCAAGAATGGGAGTCACGAAGGAGAAAAGAACCCAAACAAAAGGTAAGAGAAGGAGTGGTTTAGTTAGCATTCTCTGAACTCGTAGTTAGCTAAAATACACCTGGAATTTAGTACTTTTACCAGTGCAGAGAGAGAGAGAGAAAAGTAAGTAATGTACTAATTGACATTTTAGGAAAAATTATCAGTGCAGTAAGAAGAGATGTCATTAGTTGAAACAATATGGCAAATTAATAAACTTTTTTTTACATCATCAACACAGCGAATAATGAATGTCTTAACTATGTTTTGTTTTTCATTAATTTACTGATATCATTAGTATGGTAACTTTTGACTATGTCTTCTTAAAAGGTGTGGTTCAAGTGAATAACTACTTAAAATTCTATAGCAACAGTTCTTAATCTATGGTCTGCAGGCTCCCCTCTGGTGGGCCATGGAAAAGTAACATGATTATGGAAAGGAAGAGGCAACATAGTATATAGGTCCCATTGTGGTATGTCAAGATTTAAAAAATAAAATAAGGTTGTCTGTGAACAAAAATCCATTTAATGTTAAACATGAAATCATATTAATGTTTATAAATCAACCAACTTTTTAAAACACCCTGTTAATGTTGTATAACAATTTGAGTGATTTCTGCATGTGCACACACACCTACATATATTCACCTCCACTTTAATGTGTACAATTAGATTAAGAATTTTATTTATGGACATATTACCTTGAACTTTAACCAGAGATATGGGCATCTGTGAATCTGTAAAAAAAAAAAGTTTGCAACACTTATTGCAACAAGCAGAAGTGTGAAAAAAAAAATTGTTGAATTAATTGTTAAAGTTATTTTGTATTATGTGTATTGTGTTGAATTTCATTAGACAATCACAGTACATTAATTTTGTTACTTTAGCAAAGGAAAGATGATATACTCTTAGAGAAAGAAAAGAAATGGAATGAAATCAGGAAAAGAAATGCTGTGGGTCGTAATTTGGTAAGCGCATCTTTCTTTAGTTCTTACAGCTTTACCTAAAATGCATAATTTTGTGAATGTTAAGTCATCAGGCTTCTAGGTTAATTTTTGTTACTGTACATTAGTATGCTAAAGTTATTTCTGTGTGTATTATAAATAGGAATACACGGGTACCCGGCCAGATATTGGGCTACCCGGTAATACTCAAAGTTAAGCATCTAAGCCCTAATGTTTGTGGCAACTAATGCGGTACTGAAAGTTACAGTCAATAATTGGTTTAGTTATAAAAAAAGACGTGTTCCGAGCAACAAAAACTGACTGGCCACTGAAAGTCAGGATTCAGAAAACAATAGGGGTTAATAACAGGAATGACTTGAGAAGTGGATTTCTGGGGAAGGCGAGGGTTTTGAGAACAATAGGGGTTAGGGTTTGAGAAATTGGGGCTAGGCGTTGAAAGTAAAACTTGAATGTTCTGTTGGTTATTATTCGGTTAAACATAATGAACATCAATTTTGTTTTTGTTTCTAATTTTTGTGTATGTTGTTGTTTTTTTGGAGGGGGGGGGGCAAGGGGGAGAACCCGGTCCTGGTTGACACAGGGCCCCAGCTGAAGCTTAGTAATCGGGTACCCAGACCCAACATTCAGCCAAATTTTACTACCCGTGCATTCCTAATTGTAAACCTTTTTACCATTATGTCTTGACATGAAATAAAGTGATATTTATTTTAAGTTATAAAATAGTGTTATACTTTTATGAACATATATAATCCTAAAGCTTGTATGCTATTTATATGAAGTGGAATACAAAAAATATGGTGGTTCACATCAAGCAATAAATTATCACCAGACTTGAGCAATATCAGCTTTTACCAGTCCAACTAGATGAGAGTGAATGGAGCTATGTGTGCTTTTAGGGGGGGGGGGGGTATTTTTATTATTAGTTGTCACCCACTTATAAAAGAGTATTTTATGGTCATCTAGGATATAGCTGGCTCGTGTACTGCTCAAACTGCAAACTTGATTACCTAAAAAAAAAATATGAAATAGGATATATGTAGGTGGGTATCAATAAATATTGCACTCTGTTAAAGGTTTGTAATCCTTCGTATGTAAATGTGTTTTTATATATTTTATTTTCAAGCATTGTTTTTGATATCTACTTTCTTTTTAACTTCAGGTCAAACAAGTGAGACCATCAAGAGTTATCTCTAAGTCCAGTTCAACAGTGTACAAACAGCTGGTGAAGCCAGATCCTCAGAGTTTAGAAGAAGCAGACAAAATTACTTGGACAACTTCATCATCAAGCCAGAATGAGGCTGAAGCTAGTTTAACTGGACAGCACTTAGAAATACAAAATAATAACAACCTCAGAAACAGTGAACCAATTTCCCAACAACCTTACTCACTTCAGTTCCAACATTTCCCTTCTAATAACAAAAACACAGTAGAAAGTAATTCTGAAAAACAGATAATTCTATCCAAGTACTCGGGAAACACACAACTTCTGAAGAGCCCTGCTAGACTGTGTTCTGGGGCTAGTGGTATGAAGAGTGGTCCTTCCACGCAGTCTGTAAAAATTGAATATTCCACAGCAGGTGGGACACAGGAGCCAAAATCAGTTTATAAAACAAGTATTATGTCTCCACTTTTATTTCGCAAAAGATCATTTCCTCGCACCATTGTTCCATCAGCCAATAGTAACACTCAGCTTTCTCTGCTTCAACATAAAGTTACAAGCCAAGACTTAGATCCACATACTTCTGTATCTGGCATTATCAGCGAGTCATATAAGCAAACAGCTAGAGGGAGACTGCTTGGGGGAAAGGAAGCTTTAGATCTACCTCTTCCTCGGCCATCTGTGATTCATCATACCGAAAAGGTGGGATCACCACCTCCAGATCAGAATAATGGATTATCCCAACCTATCTATGAACAGATATCTCCAGCATCAGAACCATCATCTCCTCCTCCTCCTGTAGAGAAGAAAGAACCCAATATTCTAAATAAAATAATGGAACACATGACTCAGACACTCCCAGAGCTAACCAGCAGACATTCACCAGTATCTCCAAATTCAACAGCAGTATCATCAGTGGCTTTACATTCTTTTAAACCAGACCAATGTAAAGACACCCTTTCACCACTGTTTACATCTTCCAAGACAGAATGTCCATTATTACTAACATCTGCCTTAAAAACAGTGTCTCCTGGTTTATTACCTTCAGTTTCTTCAACAGGATCACCAGTGTTTTTACCATCAGATTCTATAACAAGACCTTTGAATTTCTCTCCCAAGACTTCCACAACGGAATATCAGATGTCTTTACCTACAGCCTCAATTACAGCAGGCTCACTGGTGTCCTTAGGACGCACTAGATCTCATCATATGAATATTACACTAGCAAGTGATGATGATACAGCTAGTCAAACAGTTTCTTACACAGGCCAATCTAATCTTCTTCCTAAAAATTTCAAAACTGTTCTTGATGTTGAAAAATATCAATTTTCAGCCTTGCCACATGGAATGTTACTTTCTGATACTCAGTATTATAACAAACATTCCTTTGCCACCTCAGATTATCAGTATGAATCCATCAAGACTAGAGTGCCTCACCTCAATGGAACCTTTGCTCACCAGTCCAAGAACAGCTTTCATGCACTTGCCATCTGTCCAGCTGTTGAACCCATCTCACCAGTGACCCCAACTCCATCACCCCCACTTGACTCTCATCATCATATTTCTCAAGAAGGATTTGCTAAATCTCTCCCTACATTCTTTAGTGATGACAATTACCAAGCACTGGATCTTACTATGAAAAAGAATTCCTCAACACTGAAGCAAGATCCATCATGTACAAAAGTACAAGAGTATAAAAAGGTCACAACCATTTCCACTGAGCCAGAAGGTTGTCTGGACCTTTCAATAAAGAAAAAACAAAAAATAGAGGTCGTAAACCAGTTTAAGTCACCTTCTAATTTCCCTGCTGTAGAAAAAAACTCACAATTTGTTCAGACCAACTCCACTGCATGGCCTGTCAACATCTGCAAATCACACATAAACAATGAAATATCCATACAAGCACATATAGACACTAAAGTCCCCATACAGGCCCATACAACACAGATAGAGAACAAAGCACCTAGGCAAATATACACATCAAATGTAAATAGTAAAACACCTAAATCATACATAAATATTAGAAATAAAACTCCCACAATGAGTCATACAACACAAGAAGTTAACATTAGTGATGAAGCCCCTTTACAGTTTCATACAACACATTTACCCAACAAAGCTCCCAATCATGTGTATAGCCAAAATACTAAGCCTTCAATTGATCATGAACTTCATCTTTCAAAACATCAAACTTCTAATGAAGCAACATTAAAATCTTGTTTAATTTCAAAAAATGACTTCCTTGCATCAGACTCATCAAAGAAAGCCTATGTAACAGAATATAATCCCCAGCTCCCCCAATTTATAAACCCAACTGTGCACCCTTATCATTCCCCACTATTGGGCTATGTTCAACAACCTTTCATGCCCTTAGAAGCAATTCAGGCCAGTGTAGCAGCATGCCAGAACATCATTGGTCGAGATTTCTTTAACCTTTTCCCCCAATTATACCATCAATTTTATAAAAGATCTAACACACCATAACTTTAGCGAGCACTTTGTACAGTTAAAAATAGCTTCCTTTACTGATAATGATCATGGGTGTATAAAGTAAGTGTTCATCAAAACATTCAACACATCTTTGCTTTACACTGTGTGTGTGTGTGTGTGTATGTATATATATATATATATATATAAATAAATAAATATATATTGTACGTGGCATGTAGGTAAATATAAATTTACTTAAGTTTAACCTGCATGAAGAAAATTGTCAGTTATTATATTATAGTGTATCTTACAAAGTGTGTAATTTTTTAAGACTGCTTTTTCACTTGGTTTTGGTAGCAGACAACTGAATTGTTCTTCAGGTCAGGATATTCCAAGTTAATAACGTCTAAAATGTCAATAACAACAAAGCAATAGGACAAATTAAATTTGTTTATAAAAGACAGACAAGTAACAGAATTTCCAAAGCATTTTAGCTATGTTTAGTACATTTATTTTAATCTTTACTGTTAAGTAGGTGTAACTCAAGTATTAACTGAGATAGTTATAACATCTACTTAATACAATGTATACTCTTACAAAAAAGTTATAAAACAAGGAGAACATCACTAGCATAACAATGGAGGGGTTCCAGAAATATTGTTCCTGACATTTATGTTATTTTTCATTCATTGTTCACACTCAATAAAATGAAAATTCAGAAACAAATTTTACACTTATTTTTATGTAATGGCAAATACTTCTTCATAATTAACTGATAAATAGTGTTCCTTGCATACATTTATCTGATATTAAACTCTGAACCTATTGTTTTATAATGTGCCCCTCACCCTATAAATCATAGTTTCACCGCTATTAAATATTAATTGTAGCTTTGAAGACTCTTCCTCATTTAATGTGAATGGTAAGCACAATTAAAAAGTATTTTAATAAAAAAATGAATTTACAACACTTTGACATCTTGCATCCAGTTTTTTTTTTAATTGTAGCTAGATTTTGATCTTCTTCAGAAGTCATCGCAATCATCAGGCTACTGAATATTCCTGAATAGGGTCAAAAGCTACATACAAAAAACAAATGGATGCAAAATAACAAATTAATTTTTTATTAAAATTCTTTTTAATTTTGTTTACTAATTGCACTGGTTATACATTAATACACCAAAATAAACATTTGTGCAGCTCTTAGAGGGTGATAAAAAAGCTTAAGTAATTTAAACAAATGAAACTATAAACAAAAATATAATGCAGAAACTTCCATTTATACCAGAGATTATATAATTTAGTTGTATTGTTTACAAGGTAACACTAATCCTAAGCTTTTTGTTACACACCTGTGTTAATTGCTGTCAGAATAAAGCATTTTTTGTATATGGTCACAATTATCTGTGCATAAGCTGCTTTTCAATCACCATGACAATATGGTGTTCATAAGTGTTATCTGTCCCAAAGATCTATTTATAAATGCATTGTGATATATGGTAAGACAACAACCAATTAAATTCAAGTTAGCATTGAGACATGTCATAGCATATTTGTCACACTTAGATTGTTCTGGTTGTAGTTTGAAATAATGAACACTGCATGGTAATAAAACTGGTTTAAAAATGAATAACCTTTTTTTCAACAAATGCTTCACTTTAACATCTTATGGAAATATTCTGGTAATAAAAGAAAAACGACAAACTCTGTAAGGAACACTTATATTTCATTAAAAAGGAAATGAGTATGTAATTTACAAGATCCAGATGTTTATTTCTGTATTCAGTTTTTTTTTGGCTTAATTTGTAGTTAAAAAATGTTTACACCTGTATCACAGTCTGAATTGTAATTGTTACAGTTTAAAAAAAATTTGAAAATTCTGAAACTTTTTATTTACATCTATATTACTATCCAATATGTGATTCCTTAGATAAAATAAATTGTTTCTACTACCTAATTATGAATGTCAGAATGTAGTCTTTCAGGTTTTCTTGAGAAGGTCAGACAAAGTAAATGAATTTATGAAACTACAGTCTGCATAACAAATGCTAACATAATTAAAAGAAAGTGCTACAAACTTACATATTACAGTAATAAGTTAAAATCCTCTTAAGAAAACAACTGTTAAGAGGAAAATAAACCATCTGATAAATCAATAATATTTTACTCTGTGATTGTGATGGAAAGGTTGTATACATCACTCTCCTGTTGTCTTGGCAATTTGTTCTTGTGCAGTTGATGGATGGTGTAACTGAAATAATAACTCTCAAACAAATCTACATTCTTATACATTTAAAAAGAATAAAAACAGCCTTTCATATTGAAATATTTAAATGTAATGATTTTGATAGATAATAATCTGTAGTTTCATAATAATACAAATTACGACCTACACTTCTAAAATAAGAAAATGCACCACACATTTAATTGTTAATGGATGCTATTCCAGCTTGCACAAACAGCTAGCTGAAGTGACCAAAGCTTGTTAAATAAATCACAGTTCTTCTAATTAAAAACAAGATCACAATAGTAAAACATGTTTAATCTTTGGTCTTTTTGGATGATGGAATGTGTAATTCCAAAATATCCAAAGATTAGACATTCTTTTGTTTTACCTTGGCAATCCAGTTTTTAATTACAGTTCTTCTAGTATTAAAATTGTTTACACAGTGTGATATTCAGATGCACTTATGTCTAACATGTAAAAATCAAGTATTGCAATAATGGAAAAGTTGAAGAAAACTGCTTGCAAGAAAATAAAATGAACAAAGGAAAGACTTAAACACCTATGTACAATAAAGAAATAAAACTTTATTCTTTATACAAAAACTTGCTTGAGTTATAAATATGTGAACTTGGCCAGCTTGAAGGTAACACTAGAACAGGTTGACTTCTGTAGTATGGAGGTGGTATCACACTTTCACCCAATGAAGACTGAACAGGTTGTGGCTGTAATACATTGATTTGTAAAGAAAGACCAAAATTCTAGTGTGGTATCCTGCAGTCCTAGATTATACATGTTAGTAATCACAGGCAGGGAAACTTAACTCCCAGCTCATACCAACTTGTACAAACTTCTATACCACTCCCTCCACTTTCATATGACAGGGGAGAGATGTGAATAAAGCATGGCCAACAAGTATAAACTCTGCAGAATGATCATTGTAGTGTGAAACCTAAACTAGGTATGAGGATTAATGCAAGTTTATCAGTATTCACACCCTGTTTACAAGAGCAAATTAACTGCAAGATACCTGCACAAAGCATGTTTATCAAATGCTACAACAGAATACATAATAGAAAAAATACACATCTGAAATTAACAAGTTTTATACAGTAATCAACTACATAAATAATAATATTGCCATGTTATTTCTCTATACATAACTGACTGTTTATTATAATTTCCTTAATTTATCTAAATCTATATTTCCTTCAAAAACACAAAGAAATGACTTTTGAAGTATAAGACATTTTTATTAATAAAAATATTAAACTGAAGATGGCAGTAGCTGTTAACTTTTGACTCATATTAGTAGCTATTTTATTTTTAAAATTGTTGTTTTTGAAGTAAACATCATAATGTACCTTAAAATAAATTACTATACTTGAATTAAATTAACTCAGAAATGTCAGTAATGCAGGCAAATTCTAATGAAAAAGAGCATTTCTAAATAGTAATAGATATTAAGATTGCAAGACCTTACTACATTGCATAAGATTCTATATATTTTATTTAAAAAATTCTGTTTAGCCTGAAATAGACTATTTAATACTAAAATTTAAAAAATACTCTTAAATTCTAAAGTTTATTCACTAATGTAATTTTTTTGCTCTTAAGACAAGTTTAGTAAAATGACCTTACATAATCTGGAATGTACTGTGTCTTGCATCAATGATTTACAATTTTCATATATAGATAATGCTGCACAACTAACCTTCAGTAGTATTGGAATAAATTAAAACTCAATTACTACCAAGAAAGTTAGTATTTCAAACTAAATAAAAAGATAAAACAAAGCCTTTTTTTTTCTCTTTCTTTTATTCAACGAATGAAAACCAATTAATAAAAAAGATTATACTGTGTAACAAGAAAAACAATTTTAACATTCATTGGCATAAAACACAACAAAACAGGTCCTTCTAGACAGAAGAAAGATGTTCAGACAATACAGTTTCTATGGTCTTATGATAATTTACATTCAACAAACTAGCCACATATTTTTTATTTAAAAAATAGACATATTATAACCTTGTTTTACAATGACAAAAGAGAAAAATCAAGTGAAAGTAATACAAGCAAAAGTCTATTGTGAAACACTTGTCACACAACACAAGAAAGGCATATGGACTTCACCATCTGAATAAACAACAAACACTATACCATACTTTTTGCACCAATTATGGTACACTACACTAAAATCATTTTTCCATAGAAAAAGAAAAATTAAATGTAGCCAGTGGTAAACTCTATTCTAAATGCTGTAATATGCATATAATCATTAGCTCAACATGTTAGGTATGTTGTGCAATTTTGATCCCTGTAATTGTGTAAACATGTAAACCATTTTATCTTTAAAAGGTCAGTAGTCAAATTGACAGAAACTTCATTAAATATACAGCTATTATAGATATGATCACCATTTCATCAATGACAGTTTCACCTTATGGATATATTTGTGCTAAAATGCTTGGAAAATTTACAAGATGGCTTACTGTTATCTGAGGATTGTAATTCTGATTTGCATTCAGTCTGTCCTTATACAAACCCAAGTTTACAATGTATTATAAATATAAACATCTAGTATCTTTTAAGCAAATTAAATTTATCAGCTCTAAAATGTAGAAACAAGTCTCATACGATCAATCTAGTGACCATTCTTTATGAAGATAGAAAATTTTAAGATAGAACTGCTTTACCATCTACTTTGCCATCAAATTTTTAGCAAAGAATGTCTAGTGCAACACTGGAAAAGAAATACATTTCATGCCAATGTTGAGATAAGAATAACTTATGTTTGCTAGTATGGTACCAAATTCCCATGTTAATTTAAGTCTTACTGGAAGTTTTTCTCAGTGCTTAAGGTTATTACTCGGAAATGATTCGCATATTTTATTTCAGTTCAAACTTTTCACTAATAAAGGACAAGAATAAATTCCTAAAGTATTTGGCTGAAGAAATCTACTTAGAAAAAAGAAAGCTATTTTAATTTAGATATTCGACACAATCTTAATTTGCATCTCCAGTAAAAAATGTTTATACAAACAAAACCACTTCTGTTTATAAACATTTTCTATTAAAATTTCAAAAACAATGTTGTTTGTACACACTTTTCAAATGAAAAGATAATGTTTTGTACACCAAAATACACATCCAGAACATTTCTGTAAAATACAGTCTTTCGAACAAAACTTGTATGGTTTATTTGTTCAGTAAAGAAAATTTTCCTTCATGGTTTCAAAAATATGAGTCATAAATAACCCCCAAGAATAACTGGAAGAGAAATACAGAAATAAAATAGTATAATAACTGTTCTTGATGATAAGGACTTTCATAAAGATTCCTTAACTTAGAAGCAGAGAAGAATTTTATTATGGTTTTTTCTCACAAAATTGATGTGAAGAAATTCATGAATATGTTAGTCAATAAAACTTATATCCCCGTAAAAACAAGCTTTCATTAGCCAATGAAAAATTAACATCTTTTAATTTTCTACCTCAATTTTTATTTGCTATTAAATTTTACAAAAAATCAAGATCATTACCTGCTTTTTATACTTCCCAATTACAACTGATTTTAGCCATAGATCTAATAAGAAGTACAGTAACTCTGAATGGAATTTAAAATAATAAAAAAAACACATCTCTTGATTTTCCTGTAGTACTAGAAATTTTCAAATCTTAAAAATATCCTCAAGTTAAGTCTCAAAATTAATGATCTAACTAACATTGTTTCATTAAAAACTTACCCTAAAAATGTATCATTTTAGCATCAGATGGACTCTGTTCCACAGGGCAATATGGACATTTTAATCTGAAAACAAAAAAGGGAAATCTGAGTTTAAATCTTTAAGCACACTGATGTGAGAAACTTCACTTGTGACGAGTTAAAATTTTTGATATTTAAATTCTTCTTCATTTTATACATTCAGTAAATATTCAAAAGTTAATGACTAACGTGTAATATCATGTTTATCTCTTTTTGTCACCCACATCCTTTTATTCCCACAAATTTATTATTTACAATTAATTTAATCAAAGAAATAAAACAAGAGGCTAAAGTTTGCTTGAAAGATACATGTTAACCCATTACAACTGCTCAATCAGTAAAGCTTCTAAAACTAGAATACTTAACCAACTGAAAGACATACTTTAGTATCATTAGTCCATTACAACCACAACTTACTTGTTGCCATTTGCCAACTTGTGTAATGCATCTCGAGAGATGACGTGGCCACAAACAAGCCTCATGGGAGGATTGTTTTCTGAGCTTTGCTGTCGTAATATGGGACAAGCAAAGATGGAATGAAATCGCCCACTTTGTCCTAGGTCTATTTCAATCTTTATCAGAGCAGAAGATAGAGAGAAACATACTTTAAATCATCATTCTTTAATAACATTTGGAATTCTTAAATAAGTATACTTCAACCAAGCAAATGGTCATGTTTAAAAACCTTTGTAAACCAATAAAACCAATCTTAAATCAGTAGTTATATTTAAAGATCAAAATTCAGTATAACAGGGACAAACAGCTGCTTACAAAATACTAGATAGCTAATTAATATAGCTGGAAGCAATAACAACATACATTTTCAAATATTTAATCAACACCTAAAAATGAACATGAAAATTATGCCTTAATTAATTTAATTCCACATACATAGATATTTTTCGGTAATTCTGTTAATATTAAAGATATTTTTTGTAAATACTATTCGTACACTAAAATTAAAGAAACATTGGAAATTGAGCATTTCTGGAAAGAAGATATTCCAGTTATATAGTTCAAAAGCACTCAGGTGACATCTTTATTTTATTTCCATTTTTTTCTTTTATCCACCTGTTCATCCTTTTTATTTGATAAATGTCATGTATACTAAGCATATAAGTTTAGTACTCCTGCATACTAAATATCCATAAGAGTACTTCATCTATACTACATGATACTGCTTCTTGGATGACTAAATCCTAAGCACTTTCTATGTAAAGACACTATATGAATAAAAAAAAAAGGACTATGTAATGAAATTACAGATTAATTACTTTTTAATCAGTGATGCTGCAAGCAAAGAACTTCATATTCATTAATACTACAAGTCAAGCAATTCCTATGCAGTGATACTTCAGGTCAGACACTTCTTTTCTAATAAGATTACAGATCAAATATTTCCTCAGTAAAGAGTACGGATCAACTAATCAATGTTCTAAGACAAATACACCAAACTTCATTACAAATATGGGCTTTACCTAAGAGTTAAGTATCTAATGTTATCCTAACTGTGCATATACCTAGTTTATGATAATTCCCTACCACACACACACACTTACAGGAAGTTCATCTCTAGAGTTCCACACATCAGCTACCTGTCTTTGCTGCATAACTTGCCTGATATTTAGAAGAGCAGGAAGAGCTACACAACCAGCATTGATGCTAAATGTTCAACAAAGACAGGAAATTTAAAAGATTATTGAGTTCAATTGATATATACAACAGTTCTGTCAACCTTATGATGAAGAAATGACCTCATGCTCGATCATTCTCACATTCAAGTATAATTCAACAACTATTTATCACAAACTTTTAAGTTTCTCTCAAAATAAACTATTCATGATTACAAATGCTTGAAGGATAGAAAAAATAAGTCTTAAAATAATCACAAGCCAAATTGATAACTAGAAAGACATAATAATAGGAAATAATTCATGATCAACACTACAGTTTTGGCAACCATAATGTTAATGGTCAATTCAGTGTCAAAATGCTAATCACCAATTTTATTTGCTTAAGACAGGTAAAAAGCACTAAGGTGTCTATTGCTTAAATGCATTTAGGTATCAGTAAGTCACATTCAGTAAGTAACTGTAGAGTTTTGAAGAGTAAGTCCAGTCATTTACTTCTTACTATAAAGATGATCTATTGTGTGTGTATGTCTGTGTTAGTATCCATCATCCAGCTTGATTACTGTAATATTTGGTATGGTAATTGTAAACTGTCCAATGGTGTACCTGGGCTATTATATTTTTGTCAAAGGAGGGAGATCAAAAACACCTTGAAACAGGTCACATTTACATCATTTATACAGTTTTGACTTTGAATTTAAAGACACAAATACCTTAATCAGTTACATAAGTCAATTATTACCTTCCACAAAGCAAGGTATGCAATTAGCATCTAGTGAGGTCATTAGAAATTCGATAACAAAAAATGAAGGAAGAAGAACATTATCTAACAATCTTCTTTACAATTTTCTGCTAAAAATACACATGCTTATGACATTAATGAATTTATTTTAAATTTACTGGAATTAACCTTAGTTATATTATACTGCTCTTTGCTCTTTTTTTTCACTATGTTATGAGATCATTACTGACATTTATGAACAATAAATGTTTCTAAGTGTTGTTTTGAAGATTTATGAAAATGCTGATTAACATTTACATGAAGTAAGATAAATTAAATGATGTCTTATATTTTTATGGCTTAATGGTACCTTAACTGTTGTTAAACTCATGATAAACATGTTTTAATGTTTTTTATTGAAACATTACATATTCAAAGTACACAATTTACTTTTTTAAAAATTAATTCTCTGAGATAATAATGTATACTTGTACCATTATATGTACTCAGTAACATTCTACACTTGACCTTCAATTAAGAATAAAATGGGGCAAATGACAGATTTTTATAGCATACTATACTGTACATTTTTCACAAACACCAAACAAAGGATTTATTTTCAATGTCCATGGAAACTTCAAGATAAAATGACAGAATAATTTTTAGTAAAATAACTATTTAAAGAAAAGAAAATTTTTCAAATGACAACTCAACTACTTTTTGTTTTTGACAAAGTTACACACTGCTACAACGACTTCCATGGAAGGCCTAAACACAACATTTTTTTAAACCTACCAGACAGTGAGAGGACTTTCCATAGACAATCCCAACATGTTACAAGCATCTTTAGTGAATACTTCACAAATTTCAGACCAGTGGACAGGATCAAGAATATAGCTGTATGGTGAGTTTTGAACACCCTGAGGAAGGTACAGGAGACTACCCATCAACACTTGGATCTCTGAAACACCAAACAAAGTTATAATGCTTAACAAATTAAATAGGACCTCATCTCTGTATGATAATAAATCAACCTCATGGAACTCGTTTAATGATTTTTCTTTCAGGAAATTAATCTATATTCTGTATATGACTAATACTTAAGTCATTTTTTAAATCGTGACTACTTAGAAAGCAAGCACTTTCTGCTACAGGTTTTAAGAAACCAGTTCAATGTAAACCTATGTTAAAAAGGACTAATGGCCATCTGTCATGCAAGGTATATTCAAAATATAATTTATAATGTCAGAAAACTATGTGTACTTTACCTTTCTCATGAGAAGTTGCTAGATGTTGAAAATATTCTCGAGCATACTGAACAGTATCATGTTGCTTTTCAATTCCTTGCTGTAACAATTCAATAAATCGTAGTCGATGAAGTTTAAATTCAAGAAAACTGCCTTGAGCTTGTAATCGATCTCTGTTTCTGCATGCCCATCTGTAACAATGTCAAAATCAAGGTTTTTAGTAAATCTAGTTTAAAAAATACTGATACTGAATAACGTATCAACAAATTAAGAAAGAACTAATCTATAACGCAAGCATTAAATACTGAGTACAAATCAATCTCTAGATTCTGCTTTACACAGAAATGTGACTACTACTTAATTGATAAGTACTGTTCTCTCAATTCTTAAAATAATTGTTATAATGATTAAGTAATAAAAATTTCTTCTTTTACTACCTATAATACATAAAAAATTTTGTGGTTCTCTAGTAGCACAATAGTAAATGCTGATCATGTTTATAAAATTGGTAATCAATATATTCTTGGCTTTCTTAGCATATGTGATGTATTTCATTGTTCAAGAGCTACAAAGAACATCATTAATTGACCTCAGAAAGTTGGATACATATTGTTCACTTACATGTGTATGTGTAATTGATATAATGAAAACAGAAACATAATAATACACTTTGGCAAATTAAAAAAACACATTACTTCATCATAAGACAATGAAAACAATGAAGACAATGATACAATAATTTTGAGGCCATGAGACAAAATTGATAATTAGCAAAATAGAATAACAATTTTAAAGGTGATGGAGGACAAATGTGGAAAATTTGTAAAAACAAATTGCTTTTAATTAAAAATAGACCTGTAATTAAAAAGAAGAAGTTAACAGGGAAGGAAAAAACTTATTGGCTTACAAAAAACACATTAGGAAAAAAAATGGATAAGTTTAAGAGGTTTAAATTAACACATTGGATAGAAAGTTTACAACCAGAAATTTGGTTAAAAGATAAATTAGAAAATAAAAAGGAGTTTATGAGAAACAGCTATCAGAGCCCTATACCCTATGTGAACGAGATTGGTGCACTGCAAAAAACATAATTTCTGTGAAGCTATATGTAGCAATGTTTACAATAATTCCAAATTTACTAAGTGTATCTTCATGAAATTTGGTAAGCTTTCAGTAAACACTACAAGTATATTGTACACAAGAAAATTAGAATTTTAATAAAGTATTTCTACTAAAGATTTGATTGTGAATTTAAAAAGTCAGTCTGACTCAGATGATTTTAATATTAAGAATAAAAATACTTATTTCCTCTTACAGTTTTCATCTGTCATTTACATAACCACTAGAATCTCCAATATAAAAACAAAGTTTTATTTGATGAAATTTCAAACTTTATCTTTATTTTCTTTATCATAATCATGACTTTTTTTCCTAGACTGCAGATTGTAACAGACAATTATAATTATTTCTTGTTTTTGTTTTGTTTGTGTTTGTAGTTAAGCATAAAGCTACACACAATGGGCTATCTGTGCTCTGCCCACCATGGGCATACAATTATGTATAACTAGTGTGACAAAACAATAAATCACCAAGCAACAGTTTAGTGCAAACTATGGGAAATGAGATATTGAATTACATCCTGGATGATGGCAGCTCACAGAGATATTTTTTCATTTAATGATATTTCACTTAAATTTCTTCATCTAACCTAATAAGATACTAATTTTTACATTTTAATTATTTTGGTAACAATAAATAAATAAATAAAAAAATTTACTACTTACATCAGGGTTCTTCTCTTTTTACCATCAGAAAAATTAAGTAGACTTTTTTGTGATGACTTTTTTATATGTTTCAGAAAATATAATTTACAACAAAATATTAACATATCCAAAAAAATTTAATGTTCTAAAACTATTAAATCTATCTGGCTTTCTACTAAAGCTATAAATGGATAAAAACATTGTAGGTTGGTTGAGCAGCCAAACTCCAACAATGGAAAAAAATGAAACCGAAGCTGAATTTTTCAAAGTACCATACAATTTCAATAAATTAAAATCTTCTCTTTCTATTATTTATAAATAATCCAATAGCAAATGTCAGGAATAATAACTGACATTTTTTAAAAGATGGGATGTGGTAGGAGGTGCATGGTATGCGGGTTTGACTTTCTGTATATCTCAGTAAAGAAAGAAACTATAAATTTACGTTATAGCCTAGAAATATCTATAGTACAAGTTTATAATTTGTGTTAAACTCAGATGATCATATTGGGGTAAAAAGAAAATCTAAAACAGACAATTTGGAGCAAAGAAGCATCATGACACAGAGAAGTGAAGGTTGAGAACTTATTTAAATGTTTCCTGTTTAGGAGAAGGAATATTGCTTAAATTTTCATAAGTAAAGGTCGAAGAAAAAGTACAGAATTAGCTGTACTCCCATCCTAATATTTTCTTACCCTTAATGTATTTAAAAAGATCCTCATTATTACTTTCACATTTTCAACAAAACTTTTTTTCACATAGTTTTTGATTTCCATATTTCCCATTTGACCAACTTTCTTAATCTTCTCTAATCCTCCAAATCTCCCATCGTTGCACACAGTTTAAACTTCTTACTTCGTTTTATCCTTTATACCCTATGCAAAGCAACCTCATTTTTTCCTCACAGTCACCCTCTTTTTTCATAAGTGACACATCTATCTTGAATATTTAAGTCCAGGTTAAGTAATTACTACACAGGATCACCTACAAAAGTTGTAATATTTTCAAAATGAGATCCAAAACTCAAGCACTTTTGTATAGTTGACTATTCTTCTTCAGGAGAATAAATGGTTATGTTTAATCAGTTTACTGAAATATATAGGCTCAGATTTCGATGTCACGTAAACCGGAAGTTCAATATGAGATGGCATTGCAAGCTAGCCAATCATGACTTAAGAGTTGTTTGTGTCAGGTTTATAGTTTTGTGCCAAAGGAGTAAAGTTCATAAAAGACTTATGATGGATAACTGTTATAGGAATTGTTAAATAATCTTTATAAAGATAAAAATAAAATAAACAAAAGAAATAAGAGTAAAATGTGATGGGAAATAATAATGTAGCTCAACATACAGGAAATCAAACCAATATATAGAGAAATTTAAGGAAGAATAATACTAATAATGTAAAGTAAGTTTAATCATGAATTTAGTTTTGAAAATATTTTCAGAGACTTGCGAAGGTCAACAACCCTGGGATAGAGATTGATACCATTTGGCATTACAGTATTTAATGGTGCTATCCAATAAGCTTCTTTAATTTCCCTGTTTCTGTTAGATGTAAAATTTGTCTCTATATCCTTAAGTTTAATGTCTTCAAGAGACTGTCCAGGCATGTTAAATTGTTTTGCAACTGTTCTGTTTGTTTGTTTTTATTGTTGATTTATGGTTATTAAATATATAGTTGTTTTGGTTTGACCTACATTTTGGAAATTGCATTTTTGACATGGGATTAAGTAAATAACGTTTTTT